CACCTAAGAAAAGGTAGTTCAGGGCCATAAAGAACTGTGCTGCCAACCCAAAGGCTGGACACCTCTGCTGATTTGAATCCACTCATGGTTCCAAGGGGGGAAAAAAAAGATGGACAAATTTCTCCCATGCAATCTGAAGCATCAGAAACCTACTAGAGGGTCAATCATATATTGGTTATGACTTGAGGGCAATGAGACTAAGAAAAAAACTTCTATTTTTATAAGCTTAAGTAATAACTGAATTTCTCCCACTTGGACAATGTGAAGAGATAAACTCTTCTCTTCCCATAGACTTGTCTCTCCAGGTAAGTTGGACTCTGGCCGACAGCAGCACAATGGGGAATTGTTTTCCTATCTCCCCCCTTCAGGGACACTTTGGGGCAGGAACCCTCTTCAATGAACACTGATTGGATTAGGGTGAATATCTGACTTAAAGCATGACCAACATTCCTCTGCTTGGCCAGTCGTGGCATTAGGCTCAATTTAAGGGAACACTTTTTTCTCTGCTTCTCCTTCCTTGTCCTACCTTCCTTGCCCTACACCCTACTCTTGGCAGTTTCCCAGGTAGCTAGCTGGTGTGTGGTTTCACCCTGCAGTGCCTTTCCACATCCAGTTCTCTCTCCCTGTAACTCCCTCTTCTACCTTCCATGCTGTCCTGCCTGCACAGTTAATCAGCACCCTTTGCCCTGGGAAATCTCCTTTCACTCATGTGACTTTGGCTTGTGCCTGGGCCACATCCTCAGAGCAAAGATCTCCTGTATATTAATTCCTTTTTCTTCCCAACTCTAGCATTCTTCCAGAAGGATTAAGGTTGTTTGATCTCATTTCCACAGCATCTAGGACAGGACAGAACACATACTTGACTCAACAGCACCTAAAAACAATAACAATAAACATTTAAAGACAAATGAAACACTCCATAATCTGATTTTTACCCCTGCTCTCTCTCCTTCGCTCTCTTCCCCTTCCACTTCATCCCTCCATTAGTTTTGCTGGACTTTGTAAGCTTCATTCCGTCTCCTCACCTAAATTCAAACATTTTCAACAGCCTGAACTTTTTAGCAGCCTCCTGACTGATTGTCAGTATCAGTATTTCTCCACCCAACCCTCATAGTGTGTACACAGAGAGAGAGAGAGTCAACTATCCCTACTAAACCACTCCTCTGTCATTCTCTGCTCACCTGCATTTAATAGCTCACCACTGGATTCTACACAATTCAGAACAGCCTCTCTACATTGTCCTCAGCTGGCTCACCACTCATCTCCCACTGCTCTCCTCACACTACCATCTTGCTGTCACCCTGATACAACATCTCCACCCCTGACTTTTTGGTCCAATCTTCAAAAGGCCTAGGGATAGAAATGGTCTTATCATTAAAGTAATGCTCACTCTTTCTGCTCTCCACTGAATCTTTACCTAAAAAATTTACCTATCCAAAATGCAAAGCTGACCAAACCACTCCCCGTATGAATCCCACAGCAACCCCTCACACTCAGAGTGCAAAATCTAGGGTCAGAAATTTCCTCGGCTCACCCTTGTTTAGGTTCCCAGCTTCACTTCCCTTTGTTGTTCTTATGTGCCCTGCTGAGTCAGAACCAACGTATAGTGGGGTTTTCAGAGGCTGTTAATCACAGGGGAAGAGACTGTCCAGAGCGATGGATTCAAACCACCTGCCTAGAGGTGAGTAACATAACTCCTCAGCACCAAGACACCAGAGATCCTTTTCACCTTCCCCCACTCCCACCCTTATTGGAAGTTCATGGTTTTCCCTTACTTGCAACAATTTTTCCTGTTGCTCCACAGTCATCACCCACTCCGGGTCAGAGGTCCCTCCTGTGAGCTCACTTAGACTCTAAGCCTATCTCTATGACTCCACACTTTGTCCTCATCCAACTTTGTCTGACTGGGTACCTGCCTCTCCCACCAGATCCTGAGCTCCAGGAATGCAGAAACAGGGTCTAATCTATTGTTTTCAGCTCCTATGCCTTACAAAACACCCTTTGGCAGATGGATACGTAACAGTAGTATATCATGTTGAATGACAATCAAGTGAACTAAGAGCTACAAAGTGCTAACAATGGCCATTTCTTGGTGAAATTTTGGATTATGTAGTTCTTGCTCATTGGTGTTTCCTGATGTTTCTGTAATGAGTATGGTCTATATTCATAATAATAAAGAAGAACAAAGGAAATTTCATTATTTTTAAGGGGAAAAAATAAGAATTTTGGAATTTCAAAAGAAGAGAATCTGCTTGTCCTGTTGTGAGAATCAGGATGGGGCATTAAAAGAGACAAAAAAATTCTACAATGGAAATGGCTGGTGCCAAAGTCAGATAACTCTCCACGTAATATGTGATGGTAGAGAGAGTAGGTTACAGGTGTTACGCACCAGGCCTTGATCCAGGGTGAGCAATTCGGACTGCTCTCATTGGATGAAGGGAACTCTGGTGGCCTAATAGGTGAGAAGTTTCTCTGTCAACCCAGTATCAGATGGCTCAAATCCACCAGCAGCTCAGCAGGAGAATGATAGGTAATCTTTTCTGGTGAGATTTAAGAGTCTCTGAAAAGCCAGTCAAGGGTCAGCTGTGAGTGGATTCTGACTCCCTAAAGTTGAATTGATCATTGAAGGTGAAGAGTATTTTTCAGCAGACAGTAAACCTGCTGCTCCAAGCTCAGTGGCCTAATTGAAGGTAAGAAGAAGCCCAAGGATAGGGTGGCATAGTCCCAGCAAGACGTGGCTATACATTTGTTCCCCCTCTCAGGCATCTATACTTCACATCAAGGAAAGTTTCTCCAGTTGCCTCAACCCTCACCCGTATTCCTGTTGAGTGACAAGTATTTGGTAATTACGTCCATTGATCTCCACAATCTGTCTTCTTACCTGGACTGTAAATTCATATTGCTTTCTACACGCATTGTTTAATTACCCAATAAGCAAAGCAAGCACGGGTTTTCTTCTGTTTACTAATCTGTAGTGAACAATTTCACATTTCTTTCACCACATTTAAGGTTACATTTCTTAGCATACCTGCCATCTGCCTGCTTCCCATCTTCACACTATCTTTCTGACAATTTGAGTTACATTACCTACAGATTTGCAATCACTTGTTATGCATTAGAAAGCTGAATAATGACTAGGGAGGATAGAAGGAGAATTGATGCCTTTGAGCTGTGGTGTTGGAGAAGAGTATTGAATATACCATGGATAGCTACGAAAACAAACAGATTCATCCTGGAGAGGGTGAAACCAGGCTGCTCCTTGCAGGCAAGGATTCTGAAGCTTCATCTGGCATATTTTGGACATGTTGTAAGGAGGAACCAGTTCTTGGAGAGGGATGTCATGCTTGGGAGGGTAGAGGGACACCACAAGAGAGGAAGACCCTCTATGAGGTGGACTGATTCAGTGATTGAGGTAATGGGGGTAGGTGTGTCGGAGACAGTGAGATTGGCACAGGACAGAGCAGGGTTTAGGGCTGTTGTACATCGGGTCACTGTGAGTCACAGGCAACTCGACGGCACATAACAACAACAACAACAACACTGATTAGAAAGATGCTGCGTTGCAATTCTGAAGGCATGAAATTTGAGGCCACCAGCCGCTCCGTGGGAGAAAGATGGGCAATCCCCTTCTGAGCTATTAACTCCCTCTGAAAACCCGCTGGAGTGTCAGCTAGGGGTCAGTTCTGACTTTATGGTAAACAACAGAAACGACAACAAACTAGGAAGCCATGGTGGCTTGTTGTTAGGTGCCATCAAGTATGATTCATAGCGCCCCTATGACCCAAAGATCTGAACCCTATTCTATCCTGCACATCCTCACTCTTCCTGACACACAAGAGCCCTTTGGAGCAGTCACCAAGTCAATCCACCTGGTCAAGAGTTTTCCTCTCCGCCAACCCTCCACCCTTCCCAGTATCGTGTCCCTCTCCTAGGAATAGCCCCTTCTAGCAACAAGCCCAAAGTATGTGAGGCAAAGCCTCATCATTCTTGCCTCCAAAGAAAACTGCGTTTGCACCCTCCCCAAGACGTAGCTGTTTGTTCTTTTGGCCGTCCAAGGGATGTTCAGTGCTTTTCTTCAACACCACAGTTCAAACGCATCACTTCTGTCATCCTTATCCATTGCCCAGCTCTCAGATCTTAGTGACTTAGTGACAAAGAATTGAGCTGCCGTCTCAACGATATGGGTTCAAATCTACCACTTGCTCTTCCTCGGGAGAAAGATTGACAATCTCCTCCAGTGTGATTTACTGCGTCTGAAAACCCGCAGGAGGTTTAGGTCTGACTCAACGATACGTAACAATAACTTAGTGGGTAATCTACCTCCGCCTGTCCCACGAAATACGCTAAGAGGACGCTCTGTGAAAGAAGCATTAAAAGGGACCACCCCAGGGAGAAATCAAGTCAAGGAACTGGCTACATTACTTTTGCCCTTCAAAACTAACTCAAAGCAAAAAAAGCCGTAATTCGCCTTGTAGCTGGCTTTAGAGGAGGGGTATATAGCCCAGAAAATCCAGTAAAGTCTTCTAAAGCAGAAGCCCCAAATTAACAAGCGGAGAACTGGAAAGGAAAGGACTCCTAAAACTTTTTAGTACTTTTTCTTTTTCACTCTTTCGATGTTGTTTTTTTTTTTTTAAACTCTTTAGTGAAAGTGTCAGGAGCTGGAGATCTGGCAAAATCCCAGGGAGGAAAAATGAAGGATAGGCCTAGTGGGTGGGGCGAGGGCTGAGCCGGGAAAGAGCGCACAGCAGGTTGAGAGCCGCGTTTAGGGGGCCGGTGGGTTCCAACCTGGGTGGGGCGGGGGCGGGGCCGGGGCGGGGGCGGGGCGGAACCCCGCACATGCGCACCGCACTCAGCCGCGCGCCCTAAGGAGTGGCAGTTTTTAAAAGTGCATCCAGAAGGCTGCCCAGCACTCAACAGCATCTGTGTCCGTCGCGTGGCCCCTCTCGTCCCAGTCCAGTCTAGTCTCTCACCTGTGCGCTCCCCCAGTCTAGCGTAATCTGCACCATGCCGGTCAAAGGAGGTACCAAGTGTATCAAATACCTGCTCTTTGGATTTAACTTCGTCTTCTGGGTGAGTGAGCGCCGCTGCCACGCGCTCCTCCCCGGGTCACTTGTTCCCGGACAGGAGGCTGCTCGGCCGAGGGATGCGGTCCGTCGGGGTGCCGGGCGTCCAGGAGCGCCCACAGCTGGCACTGTGCGCGCTGGACAGACATGGGGAGAGGGGAGGTCCCTGCGGCCGCCAGCTGGCTTCCTCCAGGTCCGCGGGCAGCTCAGCGGAGGCTGTCAACGGGGCTTGAGACTTGATGGAGGTCTCTGGTGGACTGCGACTCTGGAGACTGCCCTGGCCATCTCCTTAGCCGAGAGCTTTGGACTGAGCAGTGCAGGAAAAGAAGACCTCGGGGAGAAGAGGGGCACCCCTCTTCTGGAGGCTCAAGGGCCCGGCCAAAGAGGTCCTGGGGCGTGGGGTGCAGATCGTGGCAGCAATGCTGTGTCGCAAGCGCTGTGGGGCGCGCGGAGGGGATGTTGCGAGTGCTCTGAGGGACTTGGTGGCGCCAGGAGGGCTCAGAGAAGGGCTGTTGGCACTTTGACGCTGGATGGGAGCGTCTGGCGGGGGTGTCCAGCCCGTGAGTCTCGCTCCTTCAAGGTAGAGTTGAGCAGAGGTGTTTTCCCCACATTCCTGGGTGGGCAGCAAAGTGAAGACCCAGCCCCTCCACCCCCTGAGGTGAAATCGCTCAGGCTTTGATTCCGAGACCGAGACCGTGAGAAAGTCCAAGTTCCCTGGAAGCTACCTGAAAGACAAGCTCACCTTGATCTGTTTTTCTCAAGGGTGATAAGTATCTTAGCGGGGGAGAACGCTGGGCGAATTGGGGAGGGGAAAACGCTGATCCCTATCGGCACCTCCGAGAGAGATCAAGTGCAACCTCACCCGGGAGGGCCTCTGATCTGGCCTCCTTCCCTCTAGCCCACCCAGCAGCCCGGGCAGGGCCGCTGAGAGAGGCCATAAATACGGACCCAATACTTGGGCAGAGTACCCCAGGGACACCTCCAGCGAGCCATAGTCAGCCTTTTTGCAGATGGGATGGCAACAGAAAAGGAGAATGTCCACCACACACCTCCCCTTGGAAGACTAAGGACTATCCAAGGACAGAAGCAAGAAATAGGTCATTAATGTGTCCTGGTTCTGAGGCCAGTTTGCCTGCAAAAGTGGACAGTCCTTGCCCCTCTGGAGGCAGGAGCACGTTTGGAAAGGCAATCCCTGTGGCCCTCTCTGGGGAGATGAGTGAGGAAGTGAGTGCATGAAGAGGAAGCTGGTGTGTGGATGGAAACCTTGTTACCAAAGAAGTGTGCAGGTCACTGGGGTCCCCAGGAATCTTGGGACACATCCAAGATTTAATTCTGAAAGGGTAGTTCCCCAACATGTACAAACTGGCCTCCAGCTGCAAGCCATCACACCCAGCACACGCCCTAGTGAGAATGGCACTTAAGTATGACCCTGCCCAACTCTTGACTTGCACAAGGAATACCCTAATTCTAATGGGCTTCCCCTCTTTCTGGCCACCCCACCAGAATCCGGTCAGCTGCTTATTCTCGCCAAACCCCTGGCAGTAGAAAAGAATGTTGGAAGGCTGGCTCACCTCACCCACTCTATCCTACCCTACTCTTGTCCTTTGGGAGTTTTCTTCTTATCTCCTTTGCACAGTCTCTTCCCAGTTAGTCTAGTCTCTCTGTTATATCTGCTGGTCAGTCCTCCACTAGGATGCCTAAGCCGGTCGGGATTTAGTGCTAAGAGAACATCACAGACTGCCACCCTGTACCTTAGTATACATCTACCTGTCACATGACATAGGCAGAAGCTGAATAGAAGGCCACTGGGGCACTCTAGTTCTCCTACCATCTCTTACCTACAGCTAGTCAAGTCAGCGCTAACTCAGGGTGATCCCATGTATGTCAGAGTAGAACTGTGCTCCCAGGGATTTTCAGTGACTGATTTTGTGCAAGTAGATAGGAACTCCTAGACTCTTGGCTACTGGTCTTCAGGCTGTTATTACTGTTCCCAAGACTCCTCCATGTGTGTTGAGAGCTGATCTGCCTGGGCTAGGTGCTGTTGGTCATCTATGTTGTCTGAAACAGAATGACTCATTCTTGAAAACATTTAGATTCAGAGTTAACTTAAGACGTCTTCCAGTTCAGTGGTATTGTTCATGGTGAGAATGTTGAGGGGGAGTGTGTGTGTGTGTATAAAATATTAATCAAGAGACTAAGCCCAGATAGCATGCGGCTCCTGGGACTCTTACTTCAATTCTTTCTCCATCATGGATTCATGTAGGCAATAGATATGTTTTCCTGAATTAATTATTGTTCTGCCATCACACACTTTAGTCTATTGAGGTTAAGCCCTGGATCCCAGGAGATGATAAGATGAAGGATTATTGTGATCCATTTTTTATAGTTTGCCAGTATTTCACATATGATCCATGAGATAGCCAGCATTATCACCATTTTATTGATGATCAAGGAATTAGTCCCCATAAAAGTTAAGTGACTTATGCAGGATGGTCTCAAGTCTTTAGACTGCAGGTCAGGCTGATTTCAAGTCCAGCACGCTGTCCATTGCAACACGCTGCCTGAACCAGTTGGGTTTGGCTCCTGGATGAAAATGGAAGAAGGGAGTGGAAACAAATATTGCTTAAGGCAGTTATGGTAAAGAACTGTACTGCCAATCCAAAGGCTTGAATCCACCAGGTCCTCCTGGAGAGAAAAATGGACAGTCGCCTCCCATGCGATTCACAGCCTCTGAAAACTCATTAGAGGGTCAGCTATGAGTCAGTTCTGGCTCAAGGGTGCATAAAACAACATGATCTCTGGGAGCTGCTTAAATGATTATGAAGTCACTATTTCCCTTTCTCCCTTGAGACCAAGAATTTACAAAATTGGCATTTGAAACCTGATAAGTACTTTGACAGGAACCTTAGTGGCACAGTGTTTAAACACTTGACTATTAACCAGTAATGAGGAATTTGAACTCAGCAGCTACTCTTCAAGAGGAAGATGTGGCAGTCTGCTTCTGTAAAGATGTCTATCCTTAGAACCTCTGTGGAGCCATTGTGTGCCCTTTAGGGTCACTGTGAGTCAGAACTGGTTCAGTGCCCCTGAGTAGAGGACCCCAGTCTGACTGCAGATGGCCGTGGTAGCAGTGGGTGGTCAGGTGGGTGCTCCTTCCCTGTCCTCTGGACCCCCTGCCCTTCCCCAGTGTGTTGTCTGATGCCCACAGCCAAACTAGCAATCAGTCTGTTCTTCCAACGCCCCCGGAACCCCAACCTACCAGATCTATTTCCATTGTTTTGGCATATTTTTCAGACTTCCTTACCCACCTACCCCTCAAGAAAGGTTGAGTGGAAAAACATCTTACTGATGTCAGGTGAGGAACTGGCACTACCGTTTCAAGCACAAAAGAGGCCGGAGTTCAGCTCTGATGTCCTTAGGGTGCTCGGAGTCATAGTCGACTTGATGGCATCGAACAGCAAAAACAACAGCAGGCTAAGGCTCAGTCAGGATTGTGTCTTAATCAACTAGCCCACCACCCTCCGCCTGCATCTAAGGGGCTTCCAGGAAATGGCCAGACAGGGAGATGAGTCTAGGACAGAGGAGGGAAATGAGCTATATTGAAAGAGAGGGACATCATACTTGGAAGGATGGAGGGACAGCACAGGAGAGGGAGATCCTGGATGAGGTGGATTGACACAGTGACTGGAGTCATGGGGGTAGGTGTGTCAGAGACACTGAGATTGGCTTAGGGTAGGACAGGGTTCAAAGCTATTGTGCATAGGGTTGCTATTAGTCGAAGGCAACTCGATGACACATAACAACAGTCTCCAATCCACTTCCCTCTGCCCCTTTGTCACTGACTTTGGCTTCATACTCTCCATCAGATGGAAACAGCCAGTAATTTTTCTTTCTCTTACCTATTACTCCACCCTCACCTCTCATCCTGGCCAAATGTGTTTCCTGACTCTAACAGTGACTGCTTGGAAACACAAACAGCCCTGGACTGAGAATTCAGACACCTGGATGTTGGTCCAACTCTGCTCCCAACTCACTTTGGGACCTCAGTTTGTTCTTACAGGTGCCCCAGACCTCAGTTTCCTCATCTGTAGAACCAATGGGTTAGATAAAATGGCATAAAAGGATTCCTTCAAGCTCAGCTATATAGCCAGCCATCACGCCCACTGCCTAGAGCAATAGGACTTTCACACCCCATCCAGAATAACCCAAAAATAAAGCCAAGCCTATTACCATCGAGTCAGTGCTGACTCGCAGCCACCAGAATAGGAGTGGAAATGGAAATACGCAAGGCTTACCTTCCAAACTTGACTTGGCATCCTAAGCCTCTTTTAAGCCTCTTGACCTTTCCTCCTGGAGTCTACTTTGTGCCCCTCTTCCCTCACAGTTCCCCTACTAACCTCATAGAGGGGTGGTCCCTCTGCTTGGGGATTCTTTTTTTGGAGGCATCTGGTAATTGCCCTTGACCCTCCTCCTGTTTGTGGCTGTGCAGTCTTGTGGTTAAAGCCTCAGCTCTGGAATTGATTTCGCCATCCCCACGTGGCGCTAATGTCTACCCAGCAGGGTTGTGGAGAGGTTAAATGAGAGAATGTCTAACTCAGGGAGCAGAGTAACACAGCACATGATGCAAGGCAAATCTCCAACCAACATTTGTTATGTACCATGGAGTCAGAACTGATTCAGAACTGACCCTCCAGTGGGTTTTCAGGGGCAGTAAATTACATGGGAGGAGACCGACCATTCTTCTCCAAAGAGCAGCTAGTAGATTCAAATCAAATGCCTCTGGGTTGGCCTTGGCACTGCAGTTCCTTACCTCTAAGCTCCCAGAGCTCTTAGTTATTGTTACTTATTTGTTGAAAATAGATTAAGGGGCCATGGGGCAGGTGGGAGGTGTAGATGTTTGAACCATAAACATTGCCAGGAGGGCACACTCTGGATCCCCACACATTCTTTTCTCTATTTCCCTGTACCCTTGCCAACCTCATTTATGCCACCTCCGTCTCTGCAAGT